GATCTACGAACTGGAGCATTTGATGTTCCTCCTCAGGAGATATTGACCAAGGACAGTGTTACTGTTAGTGTTGATGCTGTAGTTTACTACCAGGTTAATGGAACTCCTATAAACTACAAGTTTATAAGTCACAGAAAATTTTTGAAAAAATATTCAAAATAAATGAGTAAGGCCCAAAAACCGTCAAAAATGCCCGTTTTTTTACGTATATTTATTGAAATTTTTTTTTTAAACTTAACTGAGCCAATTTCAAAGGGTCTAAGTTGCCTGATAAAAAAAAGAAAAAAAATTAGAAAATGAAAGAATACACACAGCTAGAGCGCTTAAAATGTCGGATTGAAATTTATTTAAAAATTTATGACAGCTGTCGTGCTTCATCATTTTTCAGCACCTGGTCTGCACAAAAAGAAAGCTGATGAGATTTTCGCAGCTTCAAAGAATTTATGAAAATATATCATTTGTAGATTCGTAAGTTTTTTGATAATTCTTTAGAAAAAGTTTTTATTTCTAATTCAGGGTAAATTAATAGCCCTGAAATATTCAGGACAGCAATTGATACAGTAAACTCGTTTTTCCGTGGCATTTAATCTTAAATATGTTGAGAATACGAAATTATAAAAACTCTTGCTATGTATTCATATATCTGGGATTCACTGTATCACATGACAAATTCAAGATTTTGAGGGGCTATATAGGGCTTTTTCAAACTTTAGCAACGATTATTTAATAGTGCGTTAGAGATATTAAGCTAAAAATTAATATCAGTTCTTACGGTAAAAATTGTAATGAAAAAAGCTACCGCGCGCATCTACAGGGTCTCCCACGAAACATGACAGTTGGTAAATATTTTGAAATATCTTCTTCCCTATACTGTAATAGATATTGAAGACTTTTTGCATTTTTTCGTTCAACAAAATTTTTTACTAAAATATAAGTCTACTTTGAAATCAATTCTACTATAATATAACAAACAGCAAATGTTCTTATAATTCTCTTTGGTATTAAACAACTCAAGTAATTATGGAAGAATACATTTTAAATTATTTACCAACTGTCCTGTTTTGTGGGACACCCTGTATTTTAAAACCACTGGTCATCCGTGCACCTGGACAATATAAAACTAGAATATATACAGGTAGCTTCATAATACACTAAACATGTTTACACCCATCCTGTTATTCAATATCAACTAGAATATATACAGGTAGCTTCATAATACACTAAACATGTTTACATCCATCCTGTTATTGAATATCAACTAGAATATTTACAGGTAGCTTCATAATACACTAAAAATGTTTACATCCATCCTGTTATTGAATATCAATTAGAATATATACAGGTAGCTTCATAATACACTAAACATGTTTACATCCATCCTGTTATTGAATATCAACTAGAATATTTACAGGTAGCTTCATAATACACTAAAAATGTTTACATCCATCCTGTTATTGAATATCAACTAGAATATATACAGGTAGCTTCATAATACACTAAACCATGTGTACAACAATCCTGTTATTGAATATCAACTAGAAATATATATAGGTAGCTTCATAATACACTAAACATGTGTACACCAATCCTGTTATTCAATATCAAACTAGAAAATATACAGGTAGCTTCATAATACACTACACATGTTTGCATCCATCCTGTTATTCTCCTTACAGTATACACTGTACAACAAAACTTTCTGATTCATGTTACATCGGTTCATTCATATTTGAATCTACTAATAATTAGCGTCCATAAGACAGCACTTATCTTAAATTTCAACATTTTAAACATTTTGATCTTTGCAAAAAGGTCCCTTTCTGTTAAATTAAGAGACACATTTTTTAAAGAAAAACAAATTAACTAAAACAATTAAACCTTTATTTAAAATCTGTATAAAAGTATCTTCTTGGTGATCTATTTAATATCTGTATAAAAGTATCTGCTTGGTGATATATTTAAAATCTATATAAAAGTATCTGCTTGGTGATCTATTTAATATCTGTATAACAGTATCTTCTTGGTGATCTATTTAAAATCTGTATAAAAGTATCTGTTTGGTGATCTATTCAAAATCTGTATAAAAGTATCTGCTTGGTGATATATTCAAAATCTGTATAAAAGTATCTTCTTGGTGATCTATTTAAAATCTGTATAAAAGTATCTTCTTGGTGATCTATTTAAAATCTGTATAAAAGTATTTTCTTGGTGATCTATTTAAAATCTGTATAAAAGTATCTTCTTGTTGATATATTTTATTTTATTTTATGAGACTTTTTGGACAACCTGAAACTCTTCAGAAGTAATTTTTAAATAGCACTGAACCAATTCCGAGCAGTCGTCTCATGATTTACGGTTACCCCTGTAGAATATATTTTCCAGGTATCCAACCCACTCTCAGCAATCTGCAACAATGACGATTATAACCGGTCAACTAGGCTTCTAGCAGCAACTACCCTCAGGTAGAAAATACTACAGTATATAACCGGTCAACCAGGCTTCTAGCAGCAACTACCCTCAGGTAGAAAATACTACAGTATATAACCGGTCAACCAGGCTTCTAGCAGCAACTACACTCAGGTAGTAAATACTACAGTATGTAACCGGCCAACCAGGCTTCTAGCAGCAACTACTCTCAGGTAAAAAAAAACTACAGTATATAACCGGTCAACCAGGCTTCTAGCAGCAACTACACTCAGGTAGAAAATACTACAGTATGTAACCGGCCAACCAGGCTTCTAGCAGCAACTACTCTCAGGTAATAAAAAACTACAGTATATAACCGGTCAACCAGGCTTCTAGCAGCAACTACTCTCAGGTAGAAAAAAACTACAGTATATAACCGGCCAACCAGGCTTCTAGCAGCAACTACCCTCAGGTAGAAAATACTACAGTATATAACCGGTCAACCAGGCTTCTAGCAGCAACTACTCTCAGGTAGAAAATAATACAGTATATCGCAAATACATGAAATAAAATGACAGAATTTTAATTTTTTTCTAAACCGGGTCTTTGTGTTTCATTGCTGTTTATTTAATTTTACTATAATCGATTTTAATTCTGTTCCGAATAAAATTTTTTTGATTTTCAACAAAGGAATTTACATATTTTTATAAAGTTACATCTATTCTTTAGAGCTGCAGTAAGCAGAACCATTTGACAGCTTGAGAAATACAAGACAGCGTACTTTATGCTTATTTTCAGTGACATCAACCACTAAAAAAATGTCAGCTATAATTAATTATAATTATCATTTATGAATTTTCTTAACAATAAGTTAAATAACCAAGTAGCCAAGGACAAATTACTGGCAATTGGTTTGGGAACAGAAGAGTTAAACTCCTATGCTGACATGGGATGCTTTTAAGACATGTAGGGATCTTAGGTTCTTTTCTTTACATTTAGCCGTGGAACGTTGCTCTTCTAGCTGTTCTTTTATTTTGTAATAATGCAGATTTTCCTGTTTTAACTTTCGCATTTTTAAGAAAAACAGTGTCGTAATTAATTTCCGTGCAAATTTCACATCTTTAACCATCTTTAAACTTCTCTGTGAGTTGTCACAAAAAAATTGAACTCGATCGGTTCAGCCGCTTTGACGTTAAATGGATACATACAGGCAGAGAAGCCCGATTTATATAAATATTCTATATTAAAGGAATGTGCTTGGAACTAGAAATCTGTCCGAGATACTCTCTGATAGAGAAACCATTGGAACCTCTATGCATAAAACTTTGGTAACATTATATCTACACTTAATTGTCTTATTCTCATTGGGAAATAAAAAAATTGATAAATATTGTCATCAACCGTAAAAAATTTTAAAATATTGTCATCAACTGTAAAAAAATTTAAAAAATATTGTCATCATCTGTATAAAATTTTAAAATATTGTCATCAACTGTAAAAATTTTTTAAATATTGTCATCAACTGTAAAAAATTTTAAAATATTGTCATCAACTGTACAAAATTTTTAAATATTGTCATCAACTGTAAAAAATTTAAAAATAATGTCATCAACTGTAAAAAATTATAAATATTGTCATCAACTGTAAAAAATTTAAAAATATTGTCATCAACTGTAAAAAATTGATAAATATTGTCATCAACTGTAAAAAAAATTAAAAATATTGTCATCAACTGTAAAAAAATTAAAAATATTGTCATCAACTGTAAAAAATTGATAAAAATTGTCATCAACTGTAAAAAATTTAAAAATATCGTCATCAACTGTAAAAAATTTTAAAATATTGTTATCAACTATAAAAAAATTTAGAAATATTGTCATCAACTGTACAAAATTAAAAAATATTGCGATCAACTGTAAAAAATTTTAAAATATTTTCATCAACTGTAAAAAAATTATAAATATTGTCATCAACTGTAAAAAATTTCAGAATATTGTCATCAACTAAAAAATTTAAAAATATTGTCATCAACTGTAAAAAAATTATAAATATCGTCATCAACTGTAAAAAATTTAAAAATATTTTTTATCAACTGTAAAAAATTTAAAAATATTGTCATCAACTGTAAAATATTTAAAAATATTGTCATCAACTGTAAAAAATTATAAATATTGTCATCAACTGTAAAAAATTATAAACATTGTTTTTAACTGTGAAAGGGATGAGTCTTCACATTTTTGATGTTTTATAACCTAAATCTATTCGTTTAAAAAAGATATTGTTATTCTTATCCAATAATCTTGGTTAAGTTTTTATGAAGTTACTTAGATTCAGGACTAGCTATTGGGGTAGGTCGTGCTATCAAAGTTAAAACCAAGCCGGCATAGTATAGGGTCGGGCAATTAATACTTGGCGTGCGTCACCAAAGCCGGTAAAAAAGGTCGGTTCGGTTTGGATTCAAATTGACTCTAGTCCACCCAAGGTTCTAATGCAAGGAAAGTTATTTCAGAGGTGTACGCATCTTTTGAACTGCAGTGTACTGTCACTGGGCGGTAATGTAAACACAAGACGGATGTCAAAGCCTGACATGGGATCCATCTTTCACATAAATAATCAATGAGATATTCTGGTCATAGCAAACTATTATGTCAATTATCAAAATTATCAAAATTTAATGCTTTTAACCTCCTCGGATACTAAACGAACACTGATGCATCTATTCTTGTTTACAAATCCCGCCCAGAGAGAACTAAATGAGATATTCTGGTCATAGCAAACTATTATGTCAATTATCAAAATTATCAAAATTTAATGCTTTTAACCTCCTCGGATAATAAACGAAAACTGATGCATCTATTCTTGTTTACAAATCCCGCCCAGAGAGAACTGGTTTCAATATGTACGGAGAGTATACGCGACAGCAATTAACTTTTCTTGCATTACATTCTTGGTACACCGTGTGAAGCTCGTAAAATGTTGTAAATTGGACATAAAACTCTTTAAGATCGTAAAATGTTAAACATAAATTTTCGCTTTTTCTATTTTACTTTTCAGCATAAAAAGTATAAAAATTCAACCCGAAAATTTAAAGATTGTTGAATTATAGACCCAACTTTAGATTGAATTCTAATTGAAGACACCGAACATATCTCGATCTGGTTTGTGTAGGGTCGAGTCGGTCACTTTAATAAAAAAAGTGCCCAAACCGAATGTTTAATCCTAGGAAGCTGCCACTGATCCATGGGGGGTTCATGTAGAGAGAGTTGAGATCAAGGATGTTAGGTAAAGTTTCGCAATTTTTTCAAAACAAAGTTGCAAATATAGGAGGATTTTTAAATTGGAGTTTGTGACGAAGATTTCATTTCTTTTTATTACTAAATTAAATGATCAATCTATTAAAAAATTAAATATTTAATAATACATTTTGTTTGAAGGCTTCCTCAACAAATGCAGAGAGCAATGGCAGCTGAAGCTGAGGCTACAAGGGATGCAAGAGCCAAGGTTATACAGGCAGAGGGAGAACAACAGAGCAGCAAGGCATTGAAGGAAGCAGCAGATACAATGGCAAGCAGCCCAGCAGCTCTTCAGCTGCGCTATCTGCAGACTCTGAGCAGCATCTCAGCTGAGAAGAATTCTACGATTATATTCCCGCTGCCCATGGAACTCTTTGGAGCTTTCTCCGATGGGGTAGGAATTAGGAAATTTAAAAAATCGAATTAAAAAACTATTTTCAACATTTTTTTTTCAAAGGGCGGAATCCGTAAGCGGAAGAGGCGGGAAGATGAAGCAGAAGAGGAGTAGAAAAAGATCTTGATTGGAAAGGGACTAAACACAAATTTCAAAACAGTTTTACCTAATTATTGAATACAAGAATTTGCAATGATACTAGCCTTTCTTTTTTTCCAGCTGTAATAAATGCAAATGATAAGTTCAACATATTTAAATCAAAAGTTAAACAAATTTATTTTTATAACTTTTAAGGAATGAGACGAAAGCTAAATAAAAGTAAATCTGGTATTATTGTAAATACATGTTTATATCAATACTCAATTAAAACCTTGAAATTAAGTTTAATCTTTAGAAAATCAACCTTGGAAGCATTTCAAACATTTCCTTTATATTCGCGACTTTATTTAAAATATTTATAAATGTTATATGTTTAGGTATAAGATAACTTTAATATATGTTGATTGTTTAGGATTAAGGGAACCTTGAATAAATATATTAATTGTATATCTTTCAATTTTTTTCAGTAAAATTAGATAATTATTTACAACTACTTAATGTTCTTGACAGAGGGGGAAGTAAAGGATAGCCTGTGGTTAAATATAATTTTTCAATTTCTCGAAAACGTAATTGTAGTTTTAACAGTTTTAACGCCGTTTAAGATGAAAATGTGCGAATTATTTCCCTTAATTGTCCCAAGGGACAGTTTATGCATTTGTATATGTTTATCCGTAGCTTTGTGCACTTTTCAGCTTTCAGTTTTATCTCTCTATAACTTTCAGCGTCGGAACAATAGAAGTGCATAACTATTTAACCAATGTATTGTTTATACACCACCCCGTACACAGAATAATCAAGTCTAGTACATAGTTTTAGAATTTATTTCTTGATCATCTAGCTGTGAAGCTGAAATATAACAATTAATTAGTATTATATATTTTATAAAATGTAATGTATGGTAAAATCTTGCGACCAGACAAAGTTACTTAACAATACACATTAAAATCCAATATTTCAAAATGTTACGTCTGATAAAAGTATTCAAAGCAACATATGAAGCCTTTTAAAAGCTTAATCATCAGTTTTAAAAGGCACAGAAGAATATTTCACAAAACACAACGACGTCCCAAGCTTTCTAATAAAAATCTTACATTTGATGGCGGTTTGGTTTTCTCACACGCTGATCCAAATGTCTTCAATTAGTGTTTATCAGGTTTCAAGTTCTCCATGTACAGTGTAACTTCTCCTGCGAATGTAAAGAACCATAAGCACTAGTTCATTGTAGGTATTACAGAGTTGGTGTAAATTAGGTTTTATTAGATAATAACCTTAGAAATTGCATTTACCATTATTTTTACTTGAATAGTGCGGGATTAATAAGAGTTTATTGTTCATATTCAATCACCCTGCATAGAAAGTTCTTGACAGGATCACACTGATTCACAAATCTTCTCACAGGCTGTAGTTTATCCTAGAATAATAGTTTAGATTTTACAAGCTTTAACTTAAAGATTAAAGAGGTAGGGTGGGTGGGTAGGAGTTTAAAATATTAATTTTAATTTGGTTCAAGTTAAACAAAAAATGTATAAATATTCTCAAAGATTTTTAAGAAACTAGGATGGACAAGAAGTACGTCTAAAATAAACATAGATCTTGATAAAACGTGCTGGGTCGACTCTACATTTGATAGTCCAGACTGGACAGTACAATTTAATGCATAAATAGTATAAATTTTGTCCGGCTCGGATCATGCAACTTTATTCAAGTTCAGTGTCGGAGTCAATGAAGGTTTTTGAAAGAGAAAAATGCAGACTCTCTCCAGGGTTAAATATTTACATACATAGAGTAAGGAAAACGACTTTAAAACGGAAGTTTTAGAAAATAACGTTGTCCATAAACGAAACAGTTAATTTTGAAATCGTTAACGAACAGAAATAGCCGTTATTGAACAAAATATAACACTACAGGTAATACAAAATAACGAACGAATGTATTAGAAAATAACGGCGACTTTTGTAAATTTTCAACTTAAAATTGCATGAAAAAATAGAAAATACTCATTAGGTATCTGGATGTTTTTTTTAAAGTCTTGTGATGGTTTTGAATGTTGTCTTCCAATGTGTCCAGCTTTTTTATACAAATTCATTATAAATTCCTCGCCAATATTACCTTAAGGCCGAAAATGGGACACCCAGACCCTACACCTCAGAATATATTCTGAGCCCTACACTTAGATCCTGTCTGTTATCATAGTATTAGAGTTGCCTGGCATTACAATCTACAAACAGCTTTTTAACATGTATCAAATATTGATATGAATATACAGTAAACTTTACAAAATTAAGCTTAGGATATTTGGACATAAACATTTTAAAGAATATCTTGTTTTTGAACATTAGTCATCAAATATAAGGAATACAAAACAACGTTTATAGTCATTTCTAACTTTGGCTCGGTAAAACTCTTGTCGCAATTATTAATAATAAAACTGTCATTTTTCGAATTAAAAAGTTTTTTCTAAAGACAATAAATACATTGTTAAAAACAATCTTTAGTTGGTAAAGTAAAGCTTAATAAACCTGTGGCCGAATTTAAAGAATTTGAGCGGCGGTTTAAATATGGTTGGTTCCACATAAAATTGTATCAAATGTTTCAAGATTTAAGCCGGCGCTTAATTTAAACCGGGTTTTGGTGGATTTAAACCGCGGCTCAAATTCTTTAAATTCCATCTCTGGCAACGTTATAACTTTTTATTATGGTAAACCCGTAGCTAAACAGTTCTTTCAAATCGTTAACAACGTATTGATGTGCCGGCCCTGGAGTTTGCAGGTCAAGAGTTCTGAGAAATTGCTGCGTACGTACACTACGCGAATAGAAACCAGTAATTGTGTCTATTCCGTTGGTACTGTACCTCCTCAATGTGACTGAAAGCGTCGAGTGATAAACATATATTCGTAGTTTTTTCTTTGAAAATGTTGCTTAAATGCGCAAAAAATGCAATGGAATTTTATTTCATTGTTGTTTAGGTTATAGATGGAACTATAAGTTAAACAAATTGAAGACGACATCTGGGACGGTCCTTCAGTTCACGATGTACATACTGTACAGTACTGTTACACGTTTCCTCTCCCCGCATGGACTCTCTCTCTCTCTCTCTATGTCTCTACCTGACTCTCGTTTACAACTCATTACCGACTAGACCTCTACGCTGTTCAGTTATCTATTTTTTCAGTTTCTATACAGGATAGTTACAGTTTACTTATTTTAAATTTTCTTGTATTCTTTAATTATTTTAAAGTGATTAATTAGTTTATTTCGTTTATAATTGCCGTTGTCTATTACCAGTTATTAATTCTCAATTTAATCTCTTTTAGAGATAGTAGAAATTAATTATCAGTTAAAATTTAATTTAATTTTAATTAATACCTACGTTGTCTATTGCTAGTCATTGATTCTTTAATTAGTCATCTTTTACAGCTTTCTCTATTTATTAAAATTAATCAGTTTAGTTCCTTTGTTATAATTATTCTTCCGATTTTTGCGGTTGAAAATTTCTTTTTAAACAGTTTTCTTCTATCTTTAATTTTAATTCTACAGTTTTGGTTAAATTTTCCTTCTATCATTTCTTTATCTATAATTAATTGATCATCCTTATTTGTTTCTTTACTTTTATTGTTAGTTGATTCTCACCCTAAGCTCTTTTTGAACTAGTGAGCTAATTGTACCCTTACCTAGACGATTATTAATGATTTATCTATTTCTCTTTACAGTTTACAGTCCTCTTTTAGCTAAAGTCCTTAATCCTTAACGTCGGTTTTTTTTTTATGGCTTACTTATTTATTTATTCTTTATTCCTATTCTTAACTTTAATTATTTTTCTTTCTTCTTAATGTCGAATTATATCGCTTATTTATTTATTCCTTATTCCTATTCTTAACTTTGTTTTTTCTTTCTTACTTCTTATCTAATTTTATTCTTTTCAGCCATGCCTCCGGGTGTCCTTGACAGGACTGTTATCTCCAGTGCTGCCTTTAACAACCCTGATGATCTCTCAGCAGAGGATTTTGTAGCGCTGTCCGTCAACTCGACAGCTGATTTCCCTACTGTGCTACTGAACAATATCAACTGGAACGGCGGCATCATAGGATGCTTATCTATTACTCTCAGCTTGGACAACCTCAGAGTGGCTTCTGCCTCCTTTCACTTACTCGGTTCCCTTTGGACTGATAAGTCCTTCAGCACTGCCAACTACTGGACCACCTCTACTCCAGCTCAGCTATTCTTGACCATCGAGGACCTGACTATATTCAAGTTCCCGCCAGGATCTCTCTGTTCTGCTTACGTGAGCTCCTTGGACCTTGATTTCCGGTTCACTCAGGGTAACTCTAATGTTCCAGCAGCTCTCCTGTCTCAAGCTGGTCTTTCAATTTCAACACTTTTGATGCTTTGACCGTGTAGTAAAGCATCCAAAGTGTAATTTGAAAGCATCATAATCAACATTTGAAAGCATCATAAGCAAGGAGCAATCAAATTTGATGCCTTAATCACTTTTTTTAAAGAAAATATTAACTTCCCAGTCAAATTATGACTTCATAAGCTAAGAATTAGGAAGCATTGTTTTTCCCTGTGCTTTTCAGAGGCTTAAGAGTTAGAGTCGCACTCAGTAAGCTCCTCAGGACTGCTATTAAACCTGATGTCAAGGCCAACCTTCTTACCTTTCAATAGAGGGTTGATGACCTACTAGAAAGAGGACCTGGAGCTCTACAAATTCGGTTCCCCCTTCTTCTCTGGCCAGAGGTCTCTACTGTTCCTCCTACGGACCTTCCTTCTCAAGGTTGGGTTTCTTATTTTGTTCATTTATTTCCTTAATTATTTTCTTTTTCATCTGCTCAATTTCCTTAGAATTTTTATTTCAGAGAAAACGTTTTTTACTACCGATAAATCTTGAGTTTATAGTCATTGTTTTGCGAAGGGTCACATTGAGGTACGAGTATCATGGTTTTACACATTTTTCTATATATATTATTATATATATTTATTTACTATAGTCTAATTTTTGTATTGTTTCTAGTCCGAAAATATATAAAGGAGGGGGTCTTCTTTGAAATGTACAGTGTTCATACGATCATTTCTTGATCTTTTTATATATTTACTCGCATTTATTCTTTCTAAAAAATAATAAAAGTGGTCTTTCTCTAGATTGAACTACGGAAACGGACTCTTTGGTTTTTATTCTGAGTAAAGAGATAAAAGAGTAGACAAGGAGATCTGGGTCACGATCGCCCTGCATTATTATGACTAGGTGAATACTAGACTTAGTATTTTTTTATTGAAGAGGAAAGGGTGCATTTTATGTATTATTATGCCGCTTTACATAAATTTGTTTCAAATTTTCAAGATTTAAGCCGGTGGTCAACTAAACCCGGGTTTTGGGGGATTTTAGACGTGGCTTAAATTCATTAAATTCGGACACTGATCGTTTATTGTGAGTCATTTTTTTTCGCTCTAAATTTGGAAATAAAAAATCGCTAATGTGGCAGTAAAACTTGAATGTCTTAAATTGCGACAAAAACATCACTTATTTGACAGCCATCCAATTTTTGCTGCAAAATAACAGATTTTTTTTATCTCGAAATTTCGAGTATTCCGCTTAATTAATTAGAGTTTTAAAATCGTAAAATTTTCCAAATTTCCTGAATTTTTTAGAAACACCTGTTTGTTTTAGGTCAGAATCTAGTTTTGAGGGCAAAGTAGCCACAGTTTCTATTTTTAGCCTTAGCATTTCTAAATGCCAAACAGTTAGCTCCGTCTGCCTTTCATGTGACATTTAAAAAATGATTAAATAATAATAGAATAACCTCCATCTATTTTCTTCTTAAAACCTGTCAGTCAGATCGGATGATTGCTCTCAGCAGCACAGAGGCTTCCTGAACACCAGGTATCCTTGCTGAACACCAAGTACCCTTCCTAAACACCAAATACCCTTCCTAAACACCAGATACCCTTACTAAACACCAGATACCTTTCCTGAACACCAGGTATCTTTGCTGAACACCAGCTACCCTTCCTAAACACCAGCTACCCTTACTAAACACCAGATACCTTTCCTGAACACCAGGTATCTTTGCTGAACACCAGCTACCCTTCCTAAACACCAAATACCCTTTCTGAACACCAGGCATTCTTCCCAAACACCAGATACCCTTCCTGAACACCAGGTATTCTTCCTGACCACCAGAAACCTTTCTTGAACCACCAGGCCCCCTTCCTGAACACCAGGTATCCTTCCTGAACACCAGGTGACCTTCCTGAACAACAGGAACCCTTCCTGAACACCATAAACCCTTCCTGAACACTAGATACCTTTCCTGAACACCAGTTATCCTTCCTTAACATCAGATACACTTCCTGAACACCAGATAACTGTCGTAAACACCAGAAACCCTTCCTAAACACCAGGTACCCTTCCTGAACATCAGGTACCCTTCCTCAACACCAGGTTTCCTTCCTGAACACCATATATTCTTCCTAAACACCAGGTACCCTTCCTGAACACCAGATATTCTTCCTGAACACCAGATATTCTTCCTGAACACCAGGTATTCTTCCTGAACACCAGATACCCTCCCTGAACACCAGATACCTTTCCTAAACACCAGATACTCTTCCTGAACACCAGGTATCCTTGATGCAAACCAGGTACCCTTGCGCTCTGAACACCGGGTATTCTTCCTGAACACCAGGTATCCTTCTTGAATGCCAGGTACCCTTCCTGAACACCAGGTATCCTTCCTGAACGCAAGAGTAAAATAAAAAAAACAAAGACTATATTTATCTCCCAGTTTTCTAGTACTCATTGTAGAAATAATGAAAATTCATAAATCTGTATAAATGAAACATTATCTCTAGAATTTGAAAATTTTTTGTATAGAATTTTTTTTAGATGCTTCTGTTAGAAAACAGTTTATGTATCCTCCACCAATTGAACATGAACTCTCTCTCGAATTAAGAGTAAGAAACAAAATATTAAATAATTTAGAAATGAAAAGATGATTTTAAAAATCTGTCAAGTTTTCCAATACTAGTATTCAAGTATAGAAATATTGATTCGAACTTAAAGTTCATGAGAAAGTAAAAAGGTTTGATTTCAGTTTATTCATGAACTACAATCAGATCTAATCATAATGTTTCTCTTCATTTTGATATTTATTCGATTTTGCCATTTTGTTTCCATGGGTTTTCAATTTAAACATAAACATGAAACTGAATGGAAGCCAATAGTGTAGACAACATATTTCAACTTTTGGTGTCATATAACTATTCACAGGGTTACCCAAAAATGTCAAACTTTAATAAAGACCTCAAAATCTTTAAACATAACATTTCTCAAAGGTGGAATTTGGTCATCTGTCATTGATAAAATCATTTAGCATACTATCAAATGATTTGGTTAAAAAATGAACAGTGCAGAGCTACAGGGTCTGGTAGATGTTAGACTAAAGTCTGAATAAAATCCTAACAGATCTCAGTGACCAATAATATATCTGGAATTCAAGATCTTAATGAGCAATAATATATCTGAAATTCAAGATCTCATGGGTCTGTTTGCACTGCACAATTGCTGTTCTCCGTAATCATTTGACTATTAAAGTCTTATTTGAGTCTAAAAATGGTTTCCTATTTCAGAGGGATTATATGTAATTAAAACTATCTACAAAAAAAATGCAGGATACCGCGTAGATCAAAGACCATATTTATTTATCAGTTTTATTTAAGGAGAAGATGGTGAGAACTAATTCAGTTGGTAGTATTATACAGTCCACACCTGGTGGGCCAGCATTCAAGAAAAATTACGGAACAGCTTACGATGATGACAGTGATGTAAGTTCAATGAATAGTAAAATTTAAGTTTGTTTTTAGGATGGAATGGAGGCCGGGCTGGATCAGTACTATTCTCACCTGTAGGGTCAGATACTACTGTTGGCGGTCTGGGTTGCCCAACATGGGGCTTCTTACAGATCTTATTCTCATACTCGTACACAAACCAATTTTTTTTTGAAGAATGTTTGTAGTTTGTATCAGGGTTTCCAATCGGGATTCCCTTGTGTGGAATTATTTTTAATATTATTTCTGGGAATACAATGGCTCGCAATTGCACGCAAGTAAAATGCACTTGCGTTATAAACCCTATTCACTGCGAACCAAGATGTTCACGTAAGCTCTCGCGGAAACATCGTGCAGTATTTTTCCACTTACTCCTTTTAAACTTCAGCTAGAAACATGCACGTTGCATTATGAAAATGAATATGGTTAGGACTATAAAAAGTATAAGCGAGTTGGTGAGGAAAAACTGGAGGTCAAGGGGTTGCGAAACTTTAAAGTGGAATAAAAATAAGAGTCGTCTAGGTATCAGTGTACTTTTACAATAACTGCAGGATTGTTGTCTAGGTATCAGTGTACTTTTACAATAACTGCAGATTTGTTGTCTAGGTATCAGTATACTTCTACAATAACTGCAGGTTTGTTGTCTAGGTATCAGTGTACTTTTACAATAACTGCATATTTGTTGTCTAGGTATCAGTAATCTTCTACAATAACTGCAGATTTGTTGTCTAGGTATCAGTGTACTTTTACAATAACTGCAGATTTGTTGTCTAGGTATAAGTAATCTTCTACAATAACTGCAGATTTGTTGTCTAGGTATCAGTATACTTCTACAATAACTGCAGGTTAGTTGTCTAGGTATCAGTGTACTTTTACAATAACTGCAGGATTGTTGTCTAGGTATCAGTGTACTTTTACAATAACTGCAGATTTGTTGTCTAGGTATCAGTGTACTTTTACAATAACTGCAGATTTGTTGTCTAGGTATCGGTATACTTTTACAATAGCTGCAGATTTGTTGTCTAGGTATCAGTAATCTTCTACAATAACTGCAGATTTGTTGTCTAGGTATCAGTAATCTTCTACAATAACTGCAGATTTATTGTCTAGGTATCAGTATACTTCTACAATAACTGCAGATTTATTGTCTAGGTATCAGTATACTTCTACAATAACTGCAGATTTGTTGTCTAGGTATCAGTATACTTCTACAATAACTGCAGGTTTGTTGTCTAGGTATCAGTGTACTTTTACAATAACTGCAGATTTGTTGTCTAGGTATCAGTAATCTTCTACAATAACTGCAGATTTGTTGTCTAGGTATCAGTGTACTTTTACAATAACTGGAGATTTGTTGTCTAGGTATCAGTGTACTATTACAATATCTGAAGATTTTTCAGAACTTAAATTGTCGAGGATTAACAATGACCAAAGATGAAAGATCTCAATGAAAAATAATATATCTTGAATTATAGTGATCAATTACCAATATTTTCTGAAATTCAAGTTACCTATGATCAATAATATATCTGGAATTCAAGATCTCAATGACCAATAATATATCGGGAATTCAAGGTCTCAATGAGCAATAATATATCTTGAATTATAGATCTCAATGATCATTAATATATCTTGAATTCTAGATCTCAATGACCAATAATATATCTTGAATTCAAGATCTCGATGACCAATAATATATCTGGAATTCAAGATCTCTCAATGACCAATAATATTTGTGGAATTCAAGATCTCAATGACCAATAATCTGTAATTTTGATTTAAAGTTCGTGATTTAAAACTTGAATATTAAATGAAAAAGAACAGAAACTTTGTAATGATAAAATCTGATAAATCTAATTCTAATTTAAACTATGTTTGATAAAAAACGGAATTAATATTAATAATCATATTTAGTTTTCATTTATTTGACAGGAAAATGGACTGTGTGCATTCATCATCACTTTTCTGTCCTATGTTCTAATATTCCTAACATTACCCTTTACTATATGGGGCTGTATCAAGGTAACGTCAACATGTACTTTACTATATGGGACTGTATCAAGGTAACATCAACGTGTACTTTACTATATGGGACTGTATCAAGGTAACAATAACGTGTACTTTACTATATGGGGATGTATCAAGGTAAAATCAACGTGTACTTTACTATATGGGACTTTATCAAGGTAACATCAACGTGTACTTTACTATATGGGGCTGTATCAAAGTAACATCAACGTGTACTTTACTATATGGGGCTGTATCAAGGTAACATTAACGTTTACTTTACTATATGGGGCTGTATCAAGGTAACATCAACGTGTACTTTACTATATGGGACTGTATAAAGGTAACATAAACGTGTACTTTACTATATGGGGCCGTATCAAGGTAACATCAACGTGTACTTTACTATATGGGACTGTATCAAGGCAACATCAACGTGTACTTTACTATATGGGACTGTATCACAGTAACATCAACGTGTACTTTAGTATATGGGACTGTATCACGGTAACATCAACTTGTACTTTACTATATGGGACTGTATCAAGGTAACATAAACGTGTACTTTACTATATGGGACCGTATCACGGTAACATCAACGTGTACTTTAGTATATGGGACTGTATCACGGTAACATTAACGTGTTCGTTTTAAAAACACTATTTTTTCATTTTTCTGAACGAGTATTTTGTTCATCCATTGTTCGTTCGTGCAAAAAACATTTCGTTTGTTTAAAAAACGATGCGGCCATATGTCTAGGTAGTCCAGGAATATGAAAGAGCTGTTATATTCCGTCTGGGACGCCTGAAGTCTGGAGGAGCTAAAGGACCTGGACTCTTCTTTATTATTCCATGCATCGATACATACAGGTGCTGACACATTCTTTTCCATTTCTTCTGAACTGTAGGTTGAGATTGCACTTTGGTAACATCCGTTAAAGTCTCCAACGAGTAAGCTTTACATTTAGATTTAGATGGATATCCTGAAATATAGGGGAAATTATTTGAGTCGAACTAGTTAAGAATAAATTATAAAGATATGATTCAAAGAAAGGAATTAATTCAAACAACCAGAGTCTAAAACTAGAGAATGCATGAAATTTAAGATATAGCTTAAAAGTTCTTAAAAATTATGATTTACTCAAATAATAACCTTTCTCAATTAAACCCTGAAGGGAAATTTAAATATCCCGTGGATAAAAAAACAAAACGTTTGGCTAGTGTCCCACGAAACACGACAAAGTGCAGGCGACTAAACGACCCTCTTTGGTCTTTCATAGCTATATATAAATTTGGCTTGTCTGTCTGTTTGTTTGTATCCAATAAACGTCAAAACGGCTGAACCGATCGCGCCCAAATTTTTTGTGGGACATCACGTGACCACAGGGAAGGTTTATGAATGAT